GGACCGCCTCTGCTATGAGTCCGGAGATAGGCGAACCCATAGGTGTGCCCTTAACTTTCTTTATATTCGCTTCTGTCGGCAATCTCTTTGGGCGCGATACGCTCCGATGGGTTCGGCTGTGGAAAACATTTATCCTTCGGGAGTCATCTACTTATGCGCAGATTCGATTCCTGCACAGGTGTTTCGACAATACGGTGTTACCAAAATGTGTTTCGTACAGGCCTCCGGTCCATACAGAGTTAATGAGACGCACCACAGTTCAGCACGGCAGACGCATGATCCGAGTGATTCTTTAAGACTGCCACGCGAGATTTCGCAAGAACCGTAATAGGATCGGTGAAGAGAAGGCAAAGTGCTTCGAGTTTATGGGCGGGAATGGTACACAGCTGGTCCTGCAGAGGGTGGCCGAACGAGCCCGCGAACACTAAGTGAAGCGAGAAGCAGCACTTAAAATTAAATTTCGCAAGCTTCCTCTTCCAGCGTCATTCAAAGATGACAAACTGGTGCACAACCTGTCATCCAAAGAGCTGACGGAGGAAAAAAATTGAGATCTTAACTTTCTTTCACTCCCCCGCCCCCCTCTCTCTCCAATTCGTATGTTGCTTTTTCGGGGTGATTACACAATTGGTGCTTAATTGGACGCAGTAGTTGAGCAGACAAAACCAGGTCGTTTACACGTGCTTACCCTATAAAGATTATGCCTACAGTAGAGACAGGCGGTTCAACTACCACCTATATCAGAGAGTGCCATACAGATCACCTTGAGGAACAGCCAATGAACCCCCTTTCCCTTTTACTTCAGAGACGCAAAAAGCAATACGATATAACGCTCTCAGTGTACGCACCCTGGTTTAGCCTAAGAGCCGCTTCGGTCTGGTAACGCAGCTCGGGTTTTGTACGTGACAAACTCCCTGTGTTTGTACCTTTCCTTGCCTCCTGGCAACTGGGACTTGGCCTGGGGATTTTCATCAACAGAGTATGTTAACGTTTTATGTGTACATATAAACCTTGGGAAAAGAACAAGTATGTAAAGATGCATCAGAGGAATTCTCTAGTGAAAACACGCTTCAAGAGCTACCTCATTAGAGAAAGACTCAGAATTTACCCAGGGACAGACACCGGTGCTTGTCGGCAATGGGCTTTCATGTTTGAGTTAACCTAAATTTTTTTTGTTACCCAAAAGCCAAATTGTACAAAACCCTAACGCTCTAGAACCTCACTGCTCAATGGTAAATGTTTTCGTGACATATTTCATTTCAAGGGTATGGAAGCACAGAAGCTACAGATTCGAGCAGTCCATTGAGAACACTGCAAACCGCAGTGTATGCATTGTCCTTTGAAGTGTGATGTTTCGTAGTTTCGACTTACCAAAGGCTCCACTGGCTCCATTTTATCGATACGCTGAAAATGGTATACTCACTGATTGAGCACGCAAAATGTGGCCGGTGTGAAATGTTATTCATGTTACCTTCCAATCAGAACAATCAAGCAAACACTTTGCTTTCAACATCAGTATCTCGTAAAATACAAAATTTATAAAATTGAATCGAATCAAACCGTAATAATTTCGTGACACTACGTGTTCTTCGCGGCTTCTCCAACTTGTTGCTTGATAAGATTTTATTTCCCAGCAGGATAGCATAAATTAACATCGCTGGTGTTTGCGTGTACCTGAAGATGGTTCTTCTTACTTCCGTGTTTTGGTCGACGCATTTAGGCAGCTTTCCAATTGATTACACACCTTTTGCTATCCTGAGCATATTTAATCGGCTAATTCGCCGTCTCTGCTTACCATTGTCTAACTAAAGCCCCCAACACAGCCAGTAATTTCCTTTGCATACAGATCTTTTTTTCGTGCGTTTGCTGCAGTCATCATTCCGTTCGCCGGAAGCTGAAGCCCCATCTTTTGCTCCTAAAAGAAGAGCTGACTGAAACTACCTTTTTATCTCACAAAGCTTCCAGCCTATTCAACTCGAACGGGCCACCGATGTGATTTTTTAATTGAATGTACAATATTTGAGAAGAACACTACTCGATCGCTGAGACAATACTTTTATTCTTGTCATGTTTCCAGATCCGTCGCAGATTCGTCATCAGGGACATATTCAGATAGCAGTAGTAGATACGGGACCCATATTTACAATAATTTGCTGTGGTCTTCGTTCATCCGTTTGTTTTGGGGTCCCATTGAGGCAATAGTAGTTTAAGTAGTGTACCTCATATACCTCTAGTCCCAAAATTGTGTCCTACGGAAACGGTGGTCAGAAGGGTTTTATGGGTGGGGAATTAGGATAGCCGGTGGAATATATATGTTAATGACTGCTACATGCATTTTTATTCTATTGTATTAAGAATTACTGCTGATTTATATATGTAGATTTTTCAAATCTGTATTATCGTCTAACGTATTGCAGAAAAACCCAATCATCAAAATTCAGCTTTCTTGAAATTCCTGAAAAAATAGAAATGTTGGTTATGGGGTCATCTACTTCAACTTACCTCGCGCCACGCGCACCTTCAATTCACATGTGGATCAACTTACGCCCAGCGGCTGCGGGAAATAAATTTAACTACATTTGTCCACTTTTCACTTACGTCTAAAAATTTCCTTCACTGCCTGTGCAATTTCCCCATCTCAAAAACCCCCTATAACCACCGCTTCCATAGGACAAAATGCTGGCACTAGGGGTATATGAGGTGTACTACTTAAGCTGCCTTTGCCCCTATCGGTGATCAGAGTTTGATTTTCTGACTCAGATGCAGTCATATTCCATTTACAAGTACTATAATTGTTATCCTCAGTCGTCAACTCTTGCTGTTTTCGTCCGGTAGCATCGTTAACTGTTTACTCCTCCATCTCCTTCCCACCTGCATACCAGTGATGGACATTGCATCCGGAGACTCGAATGAGGGTCTCTCGGTGTTGCTCAGGGCTGTCGCCGATGGCCGTTTGGAAGAGGAATTGGAGAAGATCCAGCGGCACTCCCCAATCCCGGGGGACAGGTACATGCCCTCAGAGGCCGACTTTCCCCAATCCTCCTCCATCAAGGCGCAGTCTCAGCTATTGGACGCTGACTTCAGTCGCGCTACACAAGTACACTCCAGCCTCCAACATCTTGTAAGCTATTTTGGCGGCGCTTAAGTGCGTCTAATATTTTACCCTAGTCTGCATTTTTGTCGATGTTGGCGCTACCCACATGTGTAACATATTATGCATGTTAAGATCAGAAAGGCTTCTTTGGGAAGGGGTTGACACTTTTATGTGTCAATTTTCGAGACAGGTTCCCCCGATCTTCTTCAGATCTGAGAAAATGTTCAACAAACAATTAAAATCCTTTAACGTTCAGAAAAATAAATAATAGTCTGACGTGCACACCGATTGGCAGGATTGTCAGTCCACGCCACTACATGCAGTTCGTCATTCCGCCGTGGTTGGCCGTGTGCATTGAACCTGACCTTGAGATAATTAAAGCTGGCGTCTAAATCGATATGCCTGTTGATGCATGACTCGTCTGAGTGCATTGCTTCCAAGAATTCACGGCCTTTGCTAGTTGGGTAAGTGACAACAATCTGTGTGTTCTCCCGTGCGAATTTGAGGCCGGTCTCCAGTGTGTGCATGGCCACCTGGGATAAGTGGTCTCGTCTTCTGACCGCCGATCGATGTTCGTGTATGCGGGTTGAGGCGCAGTTCCCATTTTGGCCACAATAAACTGCATCACAACTGGCACAAGGGGATCTTGTAGACAACACCTTTTCTTTCAAGATAGCCAAACCTGTCCTTAGGGTGTACAAGCTGTGATCGTAAGGTGGTTGCGGGTTGGTGTGCCACGTGTATCTGGCGTTTTCTTAGTTGTCTATCGACAAGCTCATAGACATTTTTCACGTATGGCAGAGTTCACCAGGTTAGTGTTTTCGATAACTTATTGGCTGTACCATTTGAAATGCCTTTTCTTTTCCTTTGCATTCTTGTCGTTTTATGCCCTGAAGGACGAAATTTCATGGATATCCATTTTTAGAGAATAATTGAAAAGGGTGTTTCATTTATTCTTGGTAACCTTCGTCATCAGAGCACTATCTTTTAGCCCGATTATTGAGGCTGTAAGCAGAACTCCTTTTGTTGCTCTCAAAATTTGGGATGACCTCTGAACAGGTTTCCTTACGGTAAACAGATGTATGGAGTGATCTTGGAATGCCCGTATTTCAATACATATTGTGTATGTGTGTGAGTCCTGCTTATTCTAAACCCACATGCTCTTCTGTCTAGTTCGTGCGGCCGTGCAATTAGGCCCCACCTCCACCTTTGACTTCAAAAACTTATGTAACTTTGTCGATCCGAACGCAAGCCCAAACCTCTTGGCAACCAGGCCGTAAATCTGTTTCCTAGTAACAGTGCACACCGAGGCCCTGTCCTAATTGTCAAAAATTAATGCCATTCTGTCATCTCAGCCCTAGCTAATTGTCATTTCGTACGATTGCCAATTATGAGCTCAGCTTATGTGGAAATCGCACTAGGTGGTGACTACGTCTAGTGTCTGTAGCTGGCACGCAGCCCAGCTCCCCGGAGTTAGGCTCTGCCTAGCGGCCACCCCCCGGCTCCCCGCCTCGATCGATGGGCTAAACCGAGTGAGGGTCTCCGATGTGTGCCCTTCCCACACCCGGTATGTCCCCCGGCAGCAGCAGTTATTATCCTAGTAGACGCAGTAGATGGCAGGTGCATAGCTAGTTACTGTACCCCATAGACATCAGAAATAGTTGTCGTATTTCCGTTGTCATTGCAGTAGACCTAGGAGCCACAGCAACCTGCCAGTAGTATAATATTTTTCGCAGTACTTTTCTTTATCCTCAGTAACCCTTATCAACAACACTAGTAGTCATTACTACTACTAATACTACTAGTCGTCAGTATCTACTTATTGTTTGTAGAGCCTACTATCAACCATATCATTACTATTACTTCTATTAAGTTCATCATTCGAACTAGCATGTTACTTTTCCTGCAGCATCATATGATCTACTAGTATCTTCAGCATTACTAATATCATCATTATTATTAACAATACCTTAGTAGGTGTAGTACTGCTATCACCATTGATATTACTAGTTTTCTCAGTACTTGTAGTCTTGCGTACTGAACTTCTCATCGGTAGTCTTACTACTGTCCCTATCACCAGTATTCCAATACTCCTGTAGAACTCTACCAGTTGTTCTATTGCCCTACTGTACCTGTCTCTTATTGACTATTTGTTATTTTGCCTGATATTCCCTTTATTGTTGCACCACTGTCTTTCATTATAGTTCCTATACTATTTTATAAACCTTACTGTCGTTCGCATTTCTTGTATTATCAGCTTAGTAGACTTTGTATTTTTAGAAGTGTTAGTGGCAGGACATGTCATAGCAGTAGTTCAACCAGAAACTTGGCACTATAGTAGTAAAAACTTATACCAGTGATTTCGGAAATATTACCCCCAACGCCATTACTGGTACTACGGTTAGTAGTGCTGCTCCCACCCCCACTACCCAATATTTTCACCCACAATCTCTAAAGTCCTACGGCGAGGACGAAATGCAATCACGTGGGCGGCTCGAACCATTGGGTCGTTTTCGCATTAAACCTAATCATGGCCCATAGTGGAGATTGGAAGCCATTCGAGTGTCAAAGCAACCCTAATTAGGGAGAGCGCTGATTTCCCTCTCGCAAGAGTTGAGGAGCTAGAAAAGGTGCCCTAAACCGATGCTAGGTCATGACTTCTGCCAGCGGACCGTGACTGACAGACTGCAAACCATGCGGTCGAAACAATTAAAACAGCGCCAGGTGTCTGCGCCCTCCCCCATCTCTGGCCTTCTCGACTTTGCCTTGACACCGGCTCCCGGTGTGGGAGTGGTTAGAGAGTGGAGTTGATTCTCCGCGAGTCTGCTTTCACTGTATTACTCGCGGGCGTCACTGCGTTGCTTCAACTCGTTGAAGTTCGTAGTAGATATCGTCAAAATCTACGGTCGAACTGT